TGCTCCTTCTCTTGCAGCAGGAACAGGCTGTGGTCGCACTCACTCTTCTTGAACCCCCCAGCCAGCAGTGTCTCCTCCAGCTTGTGGTACCATGCGCGAGGAGCCTGCTTCAGGCCATAGATGGCCTTCTTCAGCCTGCACACCCTGCCGCTCCCATCATCCAGCCCCTCAGGCTGCAGCATGTATAGCTCCTCCAGAATGATCCCATTGAGGAAGGCAGTGATGATGTCCATCTGCTTGATCTTCCATCCACGGTTTGCAGCCATTGACAACATAGTCCTCAGTGTAGTCCCTTTCCCAACAAGAGCAAAGATGTCGTCAAAATCCTTGCCCTTTGTCTGCTGGAACCCCTTAGCCACAAGCCTTGACTTGTAGCAGGTCAGCTCACCATCAGGTCCGTACTTGTGCCTGAAAATCAGCTTGGAAGAAATGGCCTTCTTCCCAGGGGGCAGCTCACACAGCTCCCACGTCTCATTCTCCAGCAGTGAGTCGTACTCCTCCTTCACACTCTGCTTCCACTTCTCAGCATCGGGCCCACTCAAGGCCTCGGTAATAGTCTTGGGCTCAGGGACGGCTGCCCAGTAGCAGTGCGCTATCTCCTCCTCATCGCACTGCGCAGCCACACTCCCAGCCCGTACTACCTTTGGCTTCCCAAAGTTCGGATAGGTCAGCCGGTTAGGAGGGCGCACATCCCTCCTAGGACGGTCAGCCGCACGTTGCTGCTGCTGCTGCTGCTGCGGCTGCTGCTGCTGCTGCTGCTGCTTCTGCGGCTGCTGCTGCTCCTCCACCTCAGGTTCTCCCCCATCCTCAGTCACCCCAGAGATCTCCTCCCCCGACACGGAGACTTCCACCTGCCTTGAAGGCCGCTGCACCTCATCGGCCTCAATGATCAGCGGTGTCGTAGGAAGCTTCTGCTGCTGCTGCTTCCACTCCTTGTAGTACAAGGACTCGAGGAACTTCACATCCCTCGACACAGTCAGCTGCTGGCTGGTCAAATCCCAAATCAACCAGCCCTTGTGATCCTTGGAAAGCCCTAAGTGCACACCCCATCTCCCAGAAGCTTCCAGCTTTCCCCTCTTCTCCTTCGGCACATGAAACACCACCATGCAGCCGTAGGCTCTCAGCATGTTGACTGCTGGTGCACTCCCATACCACTTGGTGTAGGGGATCCACTGCTTGTCCCCCACGGTCGCCAGCACCCTGTTTTTCACAACGACGACCTGCCTCAGTGCAGTCACCCAAAACGGATCCGGCAGCCCTGCACGCCCAAGGAGAGTGCGGGCACCTTCCTGCAGGGTCCGATTGAGCCGTTCAGCCACGCCGTTCTGTTGCGGGTTGTAGGGCACTGTGAGCTGATGCTGGATCCCCTTCTTCTTCAGCACCGCCTCAAAATCAGCGCCAATGAACTCTCCCCCGTTGTCGGTGCGGATCACTTTCACCTTGTGTCCGCTCTCCCTTTGAGCTCTCGGCATCCACTCCTTGAGAACAGCCGCTGCCACCTCCCCCTTCGTGGGTCTTAAGAGGGTATACCCACACCGCACGCGTGTGGTCATCCACAATGGTCAAGAAATAGCGGCTGCCCGAGAGAGAAAGGGCCCTCGTGGGGCCCACCACATCCATGTGCACAAGTGCAAGTGGAGCCTTGGCTGGTCCCGTGCTGCTGCTGAAGGGAAACTTCGTGAATTTGGTCTCAAGGCATGTAGGGCAGCTCCCAATCTCCTTTGCTGCCCCCTTCACCTCCAATCCCTTCAAGCTCCCATCCTTCACCAATTTCTGCAGCATCGGAATGTTGATGTGGCACAACCTCTCGTGCCACGTCTCCCAATCGGCCTCACCACTCCCAGATGAAGCCTTTGCCCATGCAGCCAATGCATCCACACCTGCAAGCACCTCACCATGAGGTTGCTGTGGCTGCTGCACCTTCTTGACTGCATCCAGGGCCCCAGCAGTTGGTGCAGTCTCCTCTCCTCCCGCAGTTGCCTTAGCCGCTGCCGCTGCCTTTGCCGTTGCTGGTGGTTTCCCGTTCCAAGGGATGATGGGCAGCTGCCACAGGTCCTTGATGCAGCTGCTCTTCTCGTCCAAGTCCCACAGCAGCAACTTCCCAAGCTTCGCACGGCAGCTCGTTGGGCCAAACGTAACCTTTGCCTTGCTTTTCTGCAGCCGGCGCACAGAGAGGAGGTTAGCGGATAAACCTTCAACAAGTAGGACATTCCCAAGCCCCACAAGTCCCCCATTGGCTCCCATCACCTTGGCATTCCCCACACCAATCACAGGGAGCAAAGCACCTGAAGCGGCAGCCACAAACTTGATCTTCCCAGGGGGTTTCACCTCATCGAGCAAATCTGCCCGCGGAGTCATGTGACTCGTGCAACCTGAGTCTATCACCCAGTGAGTGAGGGGGTGCATCACAACCTTCCCAACTGAACCCACATCATCCTCACTCTCATTTACATCCTCAACCATGAGGAACATCCCAGGGTCGGCTTTACCTTGTGCACGATCACTTTGTGCACCTGAACCTTGCACAGCGCCACCTCGTGCGCGTTCACCACTTGGCGGCTTCATGCCTGGAGGCGCCCATCCCTCAGGCCGGCTGAAACACTTGAACCACGGGTGTCCAGCCTTCTTGCAATACCAGCACGCACCCTCCATTCGGGTGCTCCCCCTGCCACCAGAGCTCCCATGCCCCTCATTATACTCACCTCGGCCTCTTCCTCTGCCAAAGCCTCTCCCACAGCCTCGGCCTCTCCCTCCCCCTCTTCCTCTGCTGCCTCCTGCAGCTCCGTACCCCTCAGCAGTTTTGTTGGCAGCACCACCTCCCGTGTGGCGCCTGCGGAAGTCCTCCTGCAGGATCTGCTGCCGTAGCCACTCAGGCGTCCACTTGTCCTGCTGAACGTTGAGGGTGGGGATGAGGTTGTCCCACGAGTTGTCGAGCACCGAGATGATCTTGGTGCACTGCTGCATCTCCGACACCTTGCTGCCCGCCGCTGCCATCCTCGCATAGGTGTCCTTGATCTTGTCAAGGACCGGCTTCACATCATCTCCCAGCCGCATGGAGATGGCAGCCAGCTCCTTTTCCAATACGATCACCATTGGCAGCGTGTTGGGCTGAACCACGTCGCGTAGCAGCTTCCACGCCTTCGGTCCGGAGTCATCGAGTTCCACCAAATCCTTGATGTGCTGGAACATGTCGTTGTTGACCGACTATAGAATAAGGTCGTACGGCACCGCGCTCCGCTCAATCCATCGATCGCGGGCATCACCTTCCTCCGGCATCTTCTCTTCTCCCATAGCCAATTTCAGCAGCTTGTAGCGCTTGAACGCACTCCGCATCCGCCCGCTCCATTCCTCATAGTTGGAGCCGTCCAAAGCCTCGATCTTGGACGGTGGCGGTTCACTCTTCTTATCAGCTGCTTCTCCACTCATCTCCTCTGCTCCCAATCACAGGTTTCAGCTCACCTTTTGCTGTCCACACTGAAGTTTCACACAATTTCTACAAGTGGCAACGCCAACGAAATTTCGGCAGAGTTTCCCCTTAGCGGAAGTTACATGCAACCTCTAGAACACCACTTAGGCACGCCCACAGGCCATGGTGGGTCTAGGAGGGTCTTCACACTTCAGTAGACTCCCCACAAAGTCCTCAATCAGCTCTGATACCACTTGTTAGAGACTAAGGACGGAGTCTAGAAGCTTAGGAGCCGAAATTATCACAAAATCGTTGGCTTGTAACTCTGGACAGAAACGTCGACTTCACAAGAAACGCTGTCGAGGAAAAGTGCACTGTTAGAATCTCACGAATTTCGGATATGTTGTAGCCCTAGACCGTGGCTACAATTCCCAATTTGAATCGTATCAAAAGATGGAGTTTTTCTCGAGTTATGCTTTTCGGCGCACTAGGGGGTATGCTGCCACAGAAACTTAACTCAATCACAATAGTTTCACAAGTTCTCACAAGTTCACACAAGAGTGTTAGAGTAGCTCTAAACCAGGTGGGAGGGAAGAGGAGGACGAGAGGGAAGGTTCCAAGGGAGTCCCCAACCAAAGAAACCCCATGCCACACAAATCCCCTCTCTATAGGCACCCCAACTTTGACATTTGTCACTTTCCCAACTCATGCCATCCACCTCAACCCACTTGGCCACACTTGCCAACCTGGTTTGGCTTCACCCAACCACATGGCAGCAATCTACAGTGATGGGTTCGAATTTCCCAACCCCAAAAGTCTGTACCCCATATTGAGTCACTCCCACAACTTCCCAAAGTCGCCGCAACCAAAGTACAGAAAGCATACGAACTCCAATGTTCGTAACTTTCTTGATCTTGCTCCGATTGCGACGATTCTTGGTTCGTCGGAAAGCTCTCGAGCAGAGGAATCGCTTCAGATATCTTCTCAGGCCAAATAATATTCACACACACTCAAGAAATCCAAACCGCGCAAACATATGATGGGAGGCAGACAGACGTGAATGCGAATGATAGCATCACAACAGACGTACTCCGACTCGGTCGAGGAGAGCGTCGCGCACTTGATGCGCGAGCTCGACCAGGAGACAGCGGCCCCTCCGTAGACGAACACGTAGCCGCCCGTGCTCGTCCGGTTCTGCTTGTCGCCCGCGTCATCGGCATCCACGTAGCCGATCAGCTCCAACGACTCTGGTCCACCGCCGAACTCCAAGGCGGTGTCGCGGGTGTCGGCGAGGTAGGCGAGGCAGTGGTCGACCTCGCGCCAATGCTGGTCGCTCCTCACCGTGAGGCCGCTCCCCAGCTTGCTGCAGGCGAACGCAATGTCCGGGCTCGTCATCGTCGCTGCGAACTGCAGCGAGCCGACCTTCTGCCGGTACTCCTCCTCGCGCTCCTGCGCCTCCTCGTCGTCGAATGTCAGCTCGGCGTAGGCATCGACCGAGACCGGCGTCTTCGGGATGCGCCCGCCTTGCTCCTCGTCGATGAAGCGAATCGCAGCTTGTCGGCGTAGTTCTGTTGGTGCAGCCACAGCTTCCTCGTCAACCTATCGCGCACGATCTCCAGCCCGAGGTATTTGATTCTGCACTGGCGAGATCTCCCGCAGCTCGAAGGCGGACTCCAGCAGCTCCTTCAGCTCCTTCAGCATCGTGGTGCTGCTGCTGGCGGCGAGCAGGTCGTCGTCGACTGCCGGTCTTGAAGTAGAGCGCCTCGTCGACCTGGCTCTTCTTCCAGCCAGCTCCCAGCAGCACTCCGTTAAGAGCCCTATACCACAGTAGCGACGACTGCTTCAACGCGTAGAGGCTCTTCAGCAGCTTACACACCCGGCCGGTCCCATCGTCGAAGTAGTCCGGCTGGTACATGTAGAGCACCCTGTCGAGCTTGCTCTGCAGGAAAGCGTTCTTCATGTCGAGCTGCATCAGGTTGAGGTCGAGGACGGCGACGATGCTGAGGAAGATCCTCAGCGTGACGTAGCTGCTCACCGGCGAGTACGTCTTGTCGTAGTCGGTGCCGTGCACCTGCGTGAAGCCCTTCACGACCAGCCTCGCCTTCTCGCGTTCGACGGTGTCATCGATGCGGTACTTGGTCGTCAGCACCCACCGATTCATTATGATGTTCACTCCGCGTGGGCGTTCGACCAGCTCCCAAGTGCCCATGCCGATGAGGCTGCGGATCTCTTCTTCCATGGCGGCCTTCACCGCCTCGCCCTTCCAGCTCGCCAGTGCCTCCTTCACCGTCATCGTCGCGATGTCCCAGCGGTGTTCAGAATCTGCATGCACGTCGGGGTCGAGCTCCGGAAAATCTTCATCCTCCTCGGCGTCATCGTACAGCAGGTCGTCGTCGACCTCGTCGTACACCGTGGTGAAGGCAGCTGATGGAAAGCATGCGTGGAAGCTCAGCCGCTCAAGCTGCCGTCGAGCTCGACCAGTGCGTCGCAGCTCCGGCGCAGACTTCTCGACCGGAACCTCCACCACATCACTGTCGGTGGATTCCTCTCCCGCCCACAGCTCCTCTTCGTCGTCGACCAGCTGCTTCGACTCTTTGACCGACTGCTCGTCAGCTGCTGCCTTCGATAGCTCCCCTGTCGACTGCCCCCTCGATGCTACCTCCTGTTCGACCGGCTCCCCTGTCTGCTGCTCCCCTGTCGTCGAATCCCGGCCCTGGTCGACTAGCTTGGCGCCTTGTTGACCGTCGGCGATGCCACTGGCCGGCGCCACAGGCGACGCCTCAAGGCTCCCCTCATCGCCGGTGGCCGACACAGGTGTCGAGGCAGACCGATCTGCGACGGGGGAGGGAGGAGCAAGAACAGGGGGAGGTGGAGGAACCTCCACAACATCCTAATGAGCAGGCTCATCGACTTCGGCGAGCAGTGGGACCGTGGGTGTCGAGGTGTCCGTCGGCTGGTGCGCCTGCATCCGCCCCAACGCTGGCCCATACTTCGCCGTCCACACTTCCACCGACAGCGTCTCGTAGAAGATCACCTCGACCGACGTGACCACCTTGTTGTCGGTCAGGTCGAGCACCTCCCAGCCCTTGCTCTCTGGCGACACACCCAGGTGAAGCCCCCAGCGAGCCTTCGGTGCCAGCTTCCCACCGCGCTGCTGCTCGGGAACCATGAACTGCACCGTGCAGACCCACACCCGCGCCAGAGTGAGGTCGGGCTTCTTTCCGGTCAGCAGCTGGTACGGAGTCGTCCCCGGCGGCGTCGTCGACCGCTCCAAGCAGTTGCGCACCCAGACGGCCTGTCGAAGAGCGAGGTGCCACCAGTGGTGCTGCACGCCCATGTGCAGTAGCATCGTCCGCACCGACTCGACGAGAGTGCGCATATCCCTCTCAGCCATGCCTCTCTGCTGCGGAGTGTAGGGGCAGGTCAGGTCGTGGACGATGCCCTTCCCGTCGACGAAGGTGGTGAAATCGTTGCCGAGGAACTCCCCTCCCCGGTCGGAGCGGAGCGACAGCACCGACATCTTTGTCTGTCGTTCCACCAGCACCAGCCACTTCTGGAACTCAGGCAGCACGTCGCTCTTCTTAGCGACCGGCATTGTCCACACGAAACGAGTGTGGCGATCCTTCAGCAGCAGGAAGTACAAGCTGCCATCCTTGGCAGCCACCCGAAATGGCCCGCACAAGTCAATGTGCACGACAGCCAGTGCCTCCTTGGCGTCCGAGCCCTTGTCGGGGAAGGTGTGCCGTGCCTTCTTTCCTCCGACGCACGAGACACATGGCGGGTCTGCTCCGGTCGACGGTGTGTTGTCGAGCCCAGTAGCAACTTCATGCTTCGCCGAGCTCTTGATCGTGTCGATGCCGACGTGTTCGAGTCGCGCGTGCATCCTTGCGGGGGTCGTCTTCGTCGCCGAGGCAAATGTCCGCAGAGCCACCACCTCGGTCGACGACAACTGCGTCGAGCAGGGGCGAATGTCGGTGCAGACGATTCGTCTGGTGTAGCGTGCTCGACCGAGCACCTCCCCGGTTGCGGCGACGAGCAGCATCTCGTCGCCGTCGCCCTGCAGCTGCACTCCGCTCTCCTTTAGTTGGTTAGAGGACAGCAGATTCGCATGTACCCCCGGAACGTAGAGCACGTCGGGGATGAGGACCCGCTTTCCGGCCTCCCCTTGTAGAGCGACGGTTCCGCGACCCTCGACAGGCTGCAACGCCCCATTGAAGCCGCGCACATGCTTCACCTCGTCGCTCGGCGCCATGTCGACGAAGACCGCCTTCGTCCCCATCAGGTGGTGGGAGCACCCGCTGTCGAGCAGCACCGCCATCGGGTTGGCCTGCACGGCTGCCGCCACCTCCCTGGAAGTCCTCGCCAGCCTCCGGCGCCAGCGAGACCGTCGGCTCCACCACGCCGACCATCGAGCACGACGCCTCCCCGTCGCCTCGGTCCTTGCCGCTGGAGCTGTCGACTTCCTTCGTCGACGACGCCTTCTTCGACGTCTTCTTCTCCTTGCGCGGCTTCTCATCTCGACGTGGGCGACGGCTGGCCGATCGACCGCGGCCTCCCTTGCTGTCGTCCTCGTCGCTGTCATCGCGGTCGGGGCACTCGAAAGAGAGATGGTCGGGGTCGCCGCAGACCCACTCACGCCGTCGACCACCACCTCCACGACCCTTGCCCCGCGTAGACTTCTTCTCGTCGACGTCCTTCGTCGACCGCCCACCTCCGCTACCACCTCCGCCCGGCTTCCCGCGCTGCCCTTGCTGCTGATTCAGCTTCGTCGGGCTGCGTAGTTTGCCTGCGGAAGGAGCTCCGTGGGATGTTTGGCCTCCTGCATCGCCTCGTCTTGGAGGATGTAGCTGGTGATGGAGTCCTCGTCGAGGGACTCACGCGTGCCGGGCACCATCATCATCCTCTTCATGAGGTTGTAGCTGCGCGGCAGGCCCTTGACGAGGTGAGTGATGTAGGACGCCGTCGAGTACTCGGCGCCCGCCATCCGCATCTCAGCCAGGATCCGTCGAGCACGGTTGCAGTAGTCCGTCGCCGACTCCTGCTCGCCCATCCGAATGTGAGTCATCTTCTCCTCCAGCTGGCCGATGTACAGGTCGTCCTTCACCTGGTACGTCGACAGGATGAAGCGCCATGCCTGGTGACCAGCATCAAGTCGCTCTCGACAGCTCCTGAGTGCTAGCTGCACCACCGGCGAGCAGCACCTTGAGATGACCATGAAAGTGAGCAGGTGAGCAGCACGAAACTCCCCGCGCAGCTCGACATCGTCCTCCTCGGGCGGAAACGGCACGGTGCCGTCGGCGAAGCCTTTCAGCCCGGCGACCTCCAGCTGAGGTTCTATCGACTCCCTCCAGGTGATGAGGTCACGTCGACCTTGCAGCAGGGCGACTGTGAGAGTACGACGGCTTTGCTATGATTTACTAGCTTGATTATGCCTTTTTATGCATTATCTAGCTTAGCTCTATTTTGTTTTGCTTGCTTTTGCTAGATTTCCTAGGTTCGTTGCTTTTACTATATTATTATAGTTTTAGGCACCGAACTAGGTTGAGTGTGTCGAAATAGTAGGTACAGTGAGAGGCCATAGCTAGGAGAACCCTAGCTAGGCAAGAGAGAATTGAACGAAAGAGGGGTTTTGCACTAGCAACAACGGTGGTACAAATAGCTAACCCTAGAAGGGCTGTACTCGCTATAGAGCACCCCACTGCAGGCTAGAGCATAATATTCTGACACACCCCCATAGCCAAAGTGGGGTGTAATCAGCACAGCAAGCAAAGCAGTACAAGCTCAGGGTGGATCACGATGTCACCACACATTCTGAGCACATGAACAAGAAGCAAAAGTTTAAAGTTCACAATTATGGGTAAAGCTAAAGCTGTCACAGAGGGCAAGCGAGGAGGAGGAGGGCTGGTGAGATGAGAGAAGAGTGGAGGCGACGACTGAAGCTGCAGACACTCGGGCAACAGACGGCTCTGGTGCAACGCTGGTGGCTACCGGGAGGAGAAAGGCCCCGGAATACAGGAGTAACAGGCTCTGCAACTGATCAGCCAGCGACAGTAGCAACGGACCCACGGGCGACAGGTGCAACCGGCTCTCTGAGCTACCGGGAGAAGAAAGGCCCCGGAATACAGGTGCTGCGGACGACACGACGGCAACCTCCGCTCAACCTCCTCCAACTGCCCCACACACCCCCCACACACCCACTGCTGAAACCCTAGCTCCATTCCCACACCACCCCCCTCAGCGGCAGCTGCAGTAGAGGGAGACTAGGGAGGAGGAGGAGTAGGGGGAGGAACTCACAACCGACACCCCCATAGCCGCCACCCCCACACTCCTCACCCCCAAACCCTAAAACGGGCGAAAGGGGAAAGGAGCACGGGGGACGACGAGGGGGAGGGCGCGCGGCCACCAGGGCGCCACCACCAGGCAGCGAGGGGCCGTGCGCAGCTCCCCAAAGCGCCGTGACGGGAGATCGGGGCCGCGAGGGGTCGCGCGCGGCTCCCCAGGGCGGCGCGACGGGAGATCGGGGCCGCGGGGGGTCGCGCGCGGCTCCCCAGGGCGGCGCGACGGGAGATCGGGGCCGCGGGGGGGTCGCGCGCGGCTCCCCAGGGCGGCGCGACGGGAGATCGGGGCCGCGGGGGGTCGCGCACGGCTCCCCAGGGCGGCGCGACGGGGTCCCCCACGGTAGGAAACCGCCGCGCGCCTCGGGGCGCACGGCGGGCAGAAAACCGCCGCACGCCCCGAGCGCGCGGCGGGATGAAAAATCCGTCGCACGCCACGGGGCGTGCGACACAGACTATAGTTGTAGCAGCGGAAGACTTAGGTGGCGGGCCCACCCACAGGATCGACCCAACAGGATCGTCCTGCTCTGATAGCATGTCGAAATAGTAGGTACAGTGAGAGGCCATAGCTAGGAGAACCCTAGCTAGGCAAGAGAGAATTGAACGAAAGAGGGGTTTTGCACTAGCAACAACGGTGGTACAAATAGCTAACCCTAGAAGGGCTGTACTCGCTATAGAGCACCCCACTGCAGGCTAGAGCATAATATTCTGACAGAGTGCACCGAATTCTAGGCTTTTCGGTTGCCACCGAATTGCCTTCTACCGAATTCGGGAAGGATCCGCTAGGGACGCTTCGCGACGTGCGGAACCTTCTAGTAACACCAGGGTTACTGCCTTTGTGTTGAGTCTATATATAGCCTCGCCTTGTACCCAGGTGCATTATTCAATAGTTCAATCTTTCCTGAACCAGATCCTCAGACTAGGTAAATAGAGCTTGTTTACACGCTAGGTCTTCAACAGTTTAGTTCCGACCTTTAAAAACCGCGGGGGCGACGACGAACGCGCCGATACGGGTATGTGATACCAGTTCCGCGAGAATTTTTGTAAGTCCCCCTTGATTCGGTTTTGAACACCCCTCACGAATATTGGTGAAAAGGTTGGAATTTCGACCGTCAGATCGATTTTTTCGTCAACGGCCGGATCGGATGCAAATATCGCCTAGAGGACATTTGCGCGACGTACCGAATTCGAGCTCGTCGATTTTACAGTCGATTCGACTCGCAGCACCCATAATTCAATTATTTTCGTCGCGCATCATTCTTTAAATCGCCAATAGGGAGGGAAATAGAGATTTAGTTATAGGAAAAATCGCGGAGTTACGTGCTGAGCATAAGCAGATATTTTTTGCGCTCCCACGACTCAAAAAACTCCTTGCGAACCAATCGGTAGCCGTAGCAGCAGCAGAAGCGACGACGGCGACACCGATAATTGTACTTGCAACAACGACAGCAACTACATTTAATATCGAAGCAGTAAAGCCGGGGCGACCAGACGTGTTCGATCCTAGAGTGAAAGGGAGCGACGTCTGTCGATTTGTAGCTGTACTAGAAAATTTCTTCGAAGCCGTTGGATGCACGACCCTCAACCAAGACGCATTGCGCATACGGCTCGCAGCAACACTGTTACGAGGCCCAGCTCTAGAGTGGATTAGCAATAGATTTATCTAAGGCAAAGAGACGTGGGCGCAGTTTCGGGCAGCACTGATCGAACAGTTCGACGCGTTGAACAGTAGCTACTACGGAACACGACGCAACAAGCCAAATAGTGGCATGGAGCGATTGGCACCACCCACGACTGCCGACCCGATGGAGAACGACAAGGACGATGCGACGCAGCGGCTAGCAAAAAATGAGACGTGCGAATTTTGCGAAGCTACAGGACATCGTATCTTGGCGTGTTAGAAGATGAAGAGAAGCCGTGTGGAGCTGAGGGACAAGAACAGTGTGGCACCCCCGAAGCAGAAAACGGGCAACGTAGCAGCTTTGGAGAGGGCGAAGAAAGGAGAATACGGTGGCGCGAAATTAAAACGTCACGACCAGTCGGCTCCAGGGGAAATCGCCGAGACAAATGGAGACTCCGCGAAACAAGACCCTGCACCGACCGGGAAACTCCAGCCGTACACCTCGACAAGTAAGAATATTACTTATCGTGGTTTCCAAGCCTATTTTAAGAGAGAGTCAGAAATTGAACCGGTATTGGGTAATATGGGGACCCTACTTCGGAGTGCTGATAAGGGTCGAGCGTTGGAAGGAGTTAATATTCTCTCCCAGCAGCACTGTTTAAAGGCTCCCTGTTCCCCACAGGCAAAGCCCACACCGCTGCAAAGGCTTAGGGGAAGGTTCCAGGCCATAGAGGAGCTGAATTGGCCTCGGATAAATCCTTCTAACCCTGCTAAGTTGAAAACTGAGTCAGCAGCTTCAAGCGCAGGACCAATGGATGATACATTTGATCTACCTTATGATCTTGTAAACAACACCATCTACAGCTACTCGGAGCGGCAGCAGCCACTAGTACTCGAGGTGATCTGCAACGGACGACGCCTCCAGGCACTGGTGGACAATGGTGCGTCCCACTCAGTCTGCGACCGCGGGACGTTGGAGAAAATCGGAGAGTCATCGGAGGAGACCCAATTTACAGCAACGATGGTGGACGGTACGAAGCTTCCCATCCATGGCGAGTCAACACTGCAGCTGCAGATAGGGGCGTTGAGGTGGAAGCCGACGTTGCCGATCACGAACATCAAGGGATTAGACTTCATCTTGGGGCGTGATTTTCTGAAGCGGTTCAACCCCGAGATTGACTGGGTCGATCGGAAGGCGTGTATCTACAACAACGGGAAACGTGTGGAGCTGCGAAGCTGGACAGATATGTTCCTGAAACGACACTAGCACGGTTCGAACGGACCGTAAACGAGAGTAACACGGGTTACTTAGCACTGGTTATAGAAGCAGAAGCCGAACTCAGAGCTACCTGCAGTAGTAAAGGAGCTGTTGGAACAGTACAAAGATATCATGCCAGACGACCTACCTGCAGGAGTACCTCCAGCGCGCACCCACGAGCACGAGATCGTGGAGGAACCAGGTGCGAAACCTGTCTCACGTGCACCATACCGAATGAGTCCGACTGAACTGACAGACATGAAGAAACAGATTGAGTATCTACTGGACAGAAAACTGATCCGCCCATCCACCTCTCCCTACGGCGCACCAGTTCTCTTCACTCCAAAACCAGACGGTAGTTTACGGATGTGCATCGACTACCGCGCACTGAACAAACAGATAGTCAATCACAAATACCCCATACTGCGCAAAGACGATCTTTTAGACCAACTGCATGGCGCGACAGCTTTTTCGAAGCTGGAACTACGGTCGGGTTACTGGCAGATCAAGATGGCAGACAACTCAATCCACAAGACGGCATTCCGTACCAGATACGGCTCCTACGAGTACTTAGTGATGCCGTTCGGACTCTGCAACGCACCAGCGACGTTCCAGGCAGAGATGAACCATATCCTACGGCCCCTGCTGGACGAATGCGTGGTGGTGTACCTGGACGACATACTGATCTACTCCAAGACCATGAAGGAGCACGTGGAGCATCTGTGGAAAGTCTTTCAGGTCCCGCGGGAGAACAAATTCTATGTGAAGCTGTCAAAAAGCGACTTCGCCCTGAAGAAGGTGCAGTTTCTCGGACACATGGTGAGTGCCGAGGGCGTACACGTGGACGTGCG